CTAAACATTTGTGTTACAAATTCCTTATAATTGCTTGTATGTTTTGGATCATCTACTCTATGCATTCACAAGTTCGACATCTTGCTAAACCCTGGTCCAGGTGTTCTGGCATCTCCAATTATTTTTAGATTATTTGACTATTGAATGTGTTTGCTTGATTCCACTGTTAGAATGAGGGCAAATATGATATATTTAGAAGTTTATATTTGTCCTTGCATTGTATGGATTACAGCTAATTCCAAATGAAATTAATGGGTTAGAATTGAATAATTTTCTACACCACCCATAAAATGATTGACCCCAACATGAATAATAAATTAGTCGAATTAGTATAAAACCCGAATAATTCAAATTTTAAGATCCGATAAACATGTTTAATTATTACTGTATAAATAAAATANGACCCCAACATGAATAATAAATGAGTCGAATTAGTATAAAACCCGAATAATTCAAATTTTAAGATCCGATAAACATGTTTAATTATTACTGTATAAATAAAATATGTATTTTTTTATCACTTTTTTATTGGGTATTAACATAAAATCCTTGTAAATTGAGAGATTTTTTAGTTGTATTTGTGATTAGGTGAATTTAATGAATTTTTAGTTTATGACATAAACTAGGAGTTATAAGTTTAGTTTAGAGAAATTCTCGTTTTAGTTCTGCATGTCTTATTTAGGCTTATATGGGTTGACCAAACACGAAACAACATTAAATAGACCAAAGTTAGAACATTTGACATAATTAATTAGATAGATTAAATTATAGTTAATTAAAACTTGCACAAATTCAAAATAAAATGATCTAAACACGGCACGCAATTGTCAATTCTATTCTACACGCATGCAATTATCTCCAAGACATATGCATCGGATGATGTCATTCTAACCAATAAATGATCGATTGTCAACCCTATTCTACACGCAAGCAATTATCTCCAAGACACAAACATCGGATGATGTCATTCTAACGAATAAATGATGCTATAAATATATCAACACCTCATTAACTTATACTATTAATTATGCTATCATCTTCTTTGGTAGGAAGTCCCTTTCCAACTCATATAACAAATCATTATCCTTTTAATATTTTAATCTATCACTTTTGGTTGTGGGGCCAATTAATTGATTGTATTGTCTGTGCAAATTTTTGTTCTAGGTGTACAAGATTTTCTGTTATGGCGGGATGTATGCGAGATAAGTGAGAGAGTACCTTATTTATTTATTTTTTTTAAAAATTAATTTCCAAATTTAAATCCAATTTTTGGATGTATGACAATGGGATGCATACATTTTTTAAACTTGGAAACCGACATCTGCATAGGCTCCATGCTTTTTCTTTCTTTTTTTTTTGATGAGTTGCAAGAACTCGTGAGTATTTACCAATTGATATTAGTTTGGTCTCTAATGCAGCATTTGGAACGTAAAAATACGTTTACATGGAAATGTAACGAAAGTGAAAATTGAATGAACATAATAATAAAATAGAATTGAAAGAACATAGGAATAATTTAAGTAAAAAATTTAGTCAATGTGGGAGATGGCCTAAGTCTAGTTATAGTGATGAATACTTTTGGAAAACTTTCTCATTGGTGAAACTTTTTTTAATTAGTGGAAATAGGGCTGTAAATTGACCTTAAATACACAAATTTGGAAATTTAGGTGTGACCTCTTGCCATTTTACTGTTACAAGTTTAATGCTGGATGACAATATTCTAGAAAGCCAGTGTTAGTTAGGTTGTACCACGTTTTCAATTACTGATTTCAACTAAGCCTAGTACTAGGCAATATGATGCGGAATTCGTCATTTCATGTCAAAATTTATTTATCAAATATCCGTTTTATTTTGAGTAGGTTTGAGATTTTCCACGCCTACCCTATCTCAATGAGTTATAGATAACATAAAGGGTTGCCCATAACTTCAAGTGAGTCATAGATAACCATGAGGGAACATTGAAGGCATGATTGCCCATAACTTCAAGTTTTTTTGAACCAGGTCTTCAAATATTAGATTTATATGCGAAAGTCTGAGGACAGATTTATAGTGGGGGCAGCTATTTCTACTGAAATTTTGAAAATTTTTGGGGAAGTAGTTTGATATTTTTGAAATTTTAGAATATTGGAAAGGGAGGTTGCCCCCATTGAAATATTTTTGAAGTAATCACGTATTTACTAAAATTCTTGGGGTTTATTTAGATTTTATAAAAAATAACTTTTGCCTTGTGTCTATCAGCTCACACGTTTCTCTTTTACTTTTGTCTGCAGTGCAACCTTTATACTCACATCATAGGTGAACAATGATGATAGTTTTTTTTTTTTTTTTTTTGAATAGAGAACAATGATGATAGTTGAAAATTTATTTATTGCTTAAGAACTTTGCCAAAAAAATTTATTTTTATTTATTATCTGAACAGTAATTAGAAATTTTTTACTTTTTTATTTCCTACCATCTTAATATTTTCCTAATGATAGAAATAAAATCTTTAATCATTTGAATTTAAACTAAACTATGAGGATTTGAAGTTTCTGTATTAATGTATTTGAGATATCATCCGCAGCACATCTCGCATCGGAAAAAAAATGAATGTCTTGGCGCATTGGAAAATTGTTCCTCTGTCGAAGTTTGATTGGCTAGACTTATTGTATATTTAATTTTTCTAAATTATTTATGGTAAAAATTGGTTAATTTTTCTAAAGTCTTTTAATTAATTGGGGTTAAATAATGGATACTCAGTCTGCGTTTGCTAATAAATTATCTTTTGAATCATCAAGGAATAAGTTTCTTAAGAGAAAATACCAATGAAAAATTTGCATATAATGAGGTTTTTTTTTTTTTTTNATTTTTGTGCATCATCAGTTACCAAATTCTAGAAAAAGTTTCGTACAAAAAACATTTTTTTTATTTGCTTGCTATAATAAATTACGATTGGATGGTCCACGCCATAAAGGTCGATGATTAGTGTCAAGATTCACATTGTCGATATTCTTTCTGGTTTTTTTAATCAGTTTATAATTTATTTATGGTTTGTCTTAATTTCTCACCATCCATTTTTCATTTTGAAAATATTAACAATGCACGGCGTGCATAACACATAAATATATTTAAATAATATTTTTTTATAAAAAATTTAAGTTATTTATAGTTAAATTAAATAATAAACTATGTAGTTTTAAGCAATTTTTATTTTAATTATTATCAAACCTTAATTATTGATCTATTATATCCTTATTTGAGTATTTAATATTTTATTTGTTTATATATCTCTGCGACCCTTTATATATATATATTTTTTTTTATAATGAACCTTTATTGTAAGATTATCATTATTGAGTATTTACACATCTAATTATATTATAAATTTATTATATTTTTTGTCAAAAAATTAATTAAATTGTAATACTATTGTTTGTATCATAATATGATATTATTATATACCAAAGAATGAACTATATCATATGTTGGACTATAAAATAATTGAATATAGATTGAACTTTATTTTTTTATATAAATATAGAATAGATATAGAAAATGGTATGCAATTGCACTATTAATAAATGTGTCCAAAATAGGTATAGAAAATAAAATTTTGAAGACAAGTAATATAGAATTTAAATGTCAAATGTAGATAAAAAAAGAGTTTATAAGAAGTTAGAAGTCAAATAGGTATAAAAAAAAATACTATTAATAAAAGAGTTTAAAAGAACATATAGGTCAAATAGGTATAAGAAATACAAATTAGAGGATACTAATATATGAGTATCATTGACTTTATAACAAAAATTAGGGATAAAATAGAAAATCAAAATTTTTTCATAAATGCTGACATTTATAAGTACTAGCAATGCACGACGTTTGTTACACGTAAATAAATTTAAATAATATTTTTTTAATCAAAAATGGGAATTATATGTATAATTAAATTAAATAATAAATTCAGTGTCAAATAATTAATCTGTATTATAATTATTACTAAATTGAATTATTAATTTATTTTATAAGTTTTTAAGTATCAAATCTGTTATATATTTAAGTATCTCTCTAACCCCCCCTTAGATATTTGCACATATAATTATATTATAGAATTATTAATTTTTATTTTGTTAAACAAATTAATTAGATTGTTTATAATATTATTATATTATTGTATACCAAAAAATAATATTTAATATATATTTAATCATAAAATTCAATCTAATAATTTAATATAGGACTTTATTTTTTCATTTACATATAAAAAATTATTCATGCCCCAAGTCCAATAATTCCAACTTAAAATAAAAGAACTTATATGCATTGCCTCCATAAATACAGGCTTCAAGTTGTTAATTATGATAGGATTTTCACTTCAAAAAAAATGTGTGGTAGCTCATGGGCAACAACAGTCCATCTCTAGTGGTAAGTTGGTATTCCCACATTTCCAGTCCAACGAATGCCAAAATTCAGTATCCTTTTGCAAATATGAACCAGACAACAGTGACACTCCAGTAATAGAATTATTTGGAAGCAAAACATAAGAGATTAGCGATTGACTGACGTAATGATCGCCACTCAATAAGTATTTTTTTCTCATGATAGAAAATATTATCACCACATTTCTGTTGTCACAACATAGTCAAATTTTTGATAATTTATTTCAAAGTAGTCAAGGTTTCCTCAATTAAGTCATCATTAACTTTGAGTTTTTCTACACATCATTTCGTGTTAATTATTAGTAGGAAAACATTTTTTATTTTCATACCCCAAGTGAATTTAAGGGCACGATAAGAAATTTAGTAATTTTTCAAATTACTTTTAAAAAAAATAGACTTATTTGTTATGTTTTTATTGAATAGTAATTTCACGTGATAATGATGAGATAATGTCGCAGTTACGCCCAATATTTTTTTCAAAAATCTCCCACTTCCTCTATTTATTGATTGCCTTGGTTACCTGGTTAGCTAGACAGCTTCCATCTGTGTACATGTGTGTGTGTTAGAGAGATAGAGAGAGAGAGTATGGGAGAGGAGTCTATTGATTCGGGGGCCATGCTACAAGGTCAAGCTGAGATATGGCAATACATGTTCAACTTTGCAGACTCAATGGCTTTGAAAGCCGCCGTGGAGCTCCGAATAGCCGACATAATCCACTCCCATGGCTCTCCGATCACCTTGTCCAAAATCGCCTCCGGCATTGCCTCTTCATCCCCGGACACCACCTGCCTTGCCCGAATCATGAGACTGCTAGTCCGCAAGAAGATCTTCACCGCCAATTCTCAATCCAACGGTGGAGAGCCACTCTACGGTCTCACCCCTTCCTCCAAATGGTTACTACATGATACGGATTTAAGTCTCGCCCCGATGCTACTCATAGAAAATCACCCATGGGCAGTGGCACCGTGGCATTGCCTGAGTAGCTGTGTGAAAGAAGGTGGCATTATTGCAAATCAAATTTTCTCTCCAAACATTCACTTTCTTTTTATTTCGAGTCAGATTTATCCTTATGATGTAGCCATTTAGGAGTTACCAGTATAAGTTGATGTTCATCAATACCTCTCACGCAAAGAAGCACAACTGTTTTAGCACAATAATTTCACGTTTTTTCGGCTCGTAGACTAATAATTTCTAATTTCATTGTATGCTCAGGACATACTATGATGTTATTACACATGTTTTGTAGTTTTGTGTAGTCATTTTGTAATTGCAAAATGTATAATCATATGCTAATTTTCCCAACAGGTGGGATTGCATTCAAGAAGGCTAATGGACATGAGGTATGGGAATTTGCAGCACTCAATCCTGAATTCAACCAGATGTTCAATGAAGGCATGGCGTGTACGTCGAAGATCGCACTGAGGGCGATCATTTCGGGTTACGAAGATGGGTTTGGCTGCGTGAAATCGGTGGTGGATGTGGGTGGTGGCACAGGTGCAGCCATGGCGGAGATTGTGAAGGCTTATCCGCATATAAAGGGGATCAACTTTGATTTGCCGCATGTGGTGAAGACAGCGCCGGAGTACCATGGAATTTCTCATGTTGGTGGTGACATGTTTGAGGTCATTCCTAAAGCTGACGCAGTCTTCATGAAGGTAAGGGTCCGATATTTTTTTTATCGAATGAAAATGTCACACGTATAATTTTTTTTATTTTTTTATTTTAGTTATTTTTAGGCCTTATTTGAAATGCAATATATATATAGTTTTTTTCACATATCATTTGTCATAATTTTAATGATACCCATTATATACTAGTTAATCATTCACATATTAATAATGAATCTATTAAAATATAATTATATATGTATATGTATATCTATATTATTTATAAATGCCTTAATAAAAAAATTAATTTTTTATTTTATCTCTAATTATTACAATAAAATCAATTATTATTATTTATATACTTTCATTTAATTTTTNGTATATCTATATCTATATTATTTATAAATGCCTTAATAAAAAAATTAATTTTTTATTTTATCTCTAATTATTACAATAAAATCAATTATTATTATTTATATACTTTCATTTAATTTTTGTTTTTTACTCATATTTAACTTTCAACTTGTTTGGACTCTTTTATAAGAATTCTTAAATTTTTTTGAATTTATTTATTAGTAATACAGTTAAATACAATTCTCTATATTAAAGTTTTATATATGTTAAATTATTATACAAACATAGATATCGGATTAAATTCTACAATTCAATATATATTATATTATATTTTTTAGTATGCAATAATATAATAATATATTATAAACGATCTAACGATCTATTTAACAAACTAAAAAGAGATTCCTAAATAATGGATAAATTAGGTACTCAAAAATTTATAAAATAAAATAATAATTAAAATATAGATTAATTAGTAGACATCTAATTTATTATCTAATTTAATTACACATATAATTCACATTTACAAAAAAAATATTATTCACATTTTCTTATATATATAAGAAAACACCTAACAACTTAAATTTTTATTCTTTACATATTTTCATTTCTAGAAAAGCATATCACCTATTTTTATCACATATTTAATTATTTAATATTTAATTAATTTGTAATTTAAGATAACTTTTATTGAAAAAATTGTCCATACACAATGGTGTAATATATTGAGAAAATTTTGTTGGATTATGTATTTTGAAAAGTTTTTGTCGATATTTATTAAAAAATAATGGATAAAAATTAATCTCAAATGATATAATTAAAGAAAGGAAAAATATAAAAAAATTATTTAATATAAAAAAATTAATTCATTAAACAATTAAATTTTATGTTTCATCGCACTATAAGATTATGAATATTATATATTAGGTGAGATTTGAATCCAATAACCCACGACCACCCACAACACGAAAACACGCGACTCCCTCTACCTCTGCAAGCTTTAGTTGTGTATGGTGGGAAGTCCCTTCCCACACCTACTCTAGTGGGACCCCTCCTACAGATTTTGTTTGCCCCATTATAAATGATAATTGAGTTTGACTGTTTTGGAGTAGGTAAGTACAGTTTAAGAACATTCCGCATGCTAAATCTCCAAAGCAGTACACGCATCCACAAATATTTCTTAGACAGCTTAAGAAACCTTTCATTGAACATTGTAGTATAATACAGATATATAAGAGAAAAGACTTTTAATTTTGGTCACCACAATTTAAAAATAGGTTGTTCAAATTTTTGATTAATCATAATTTTTTTTCTTACTTGACCTTACGTGGCCTTATTGGACAACTAGCCTAAAAAATCGAATAGAAATATGAAAAAGTTTTTTGATTTTTCGATTAAACTGGATAAGAATGCAGAATAGTCATTATTTTCGTATTTCTATCCTATCCTACCCGCATTTATTATTAAGAAGACAAAATCTCTAAAAAATAAGAAATACTATTAAACCAAAGACCGATTGGTTTTGGAGTGAAGATAAAGGAATGATTGACATGATAATTATATAAATAGAAGAATATATATTTTGATGGTATTACTAATGAAATTCTTATACAATGCTTTTAATGTATTAAAACAAATTGGGTATCAATATCAAATGGTTGCATTAAACTTATTTTTTATAAAAGGTGGTAGGATTCTAGGTGGCTCTATGACCCCCAGGTTGACACGTGGAATAATGAAGTCGTTGGGATGTCCAAAGGGTGCCGAAGAGGTAAGCCGAGATATGGTGACACGGAGCAGCCGAGTACGACAACTGTCATCATATTTAATGCGATGTGACCCCTCATTTATGACAGAATGAGTGATAGTGACAAGATAAATAAATACNTGTGACCCCTCATTTATGACAGAATGAGTGATAGTGACAAGATAAATAAATACACGCTTGCAAGCACCTACACTCTAGGAATCTAGGCCTACTGTCATGATGGCTAAGCATTAATGGCTGATACGTTGAGATGACGTGATCGACTCCCCTGAGGAACTGTTCCCCCAAGTATTCAATGCTCAGTTGATTTCAGATGTCGATCTGGGGGATTTGGGTACTCGAGGGAGGGGCATAAATATTCGGCATTTGGCCGAGAATTTATCCCATCTTCCTAGCATTTAATAGGAGGAGACGTGAGTAAAAAATACTCATTGCACGAGGAATGATGTATCAGATGTAAGATATCCAGATGGGACTGTAGATCTTTGGCAATCATTGTTAATTCGGGTATAAATACTCAAAAAAATGGACAAAGATACGCAAACTTGAACCAAAAAAAGATTGTCCATTGAACTAAACCCTTTGATCTTAGACTGATTTAAGCTTCGGAGGGAATAAGTCGGGTGCTCACCTGACCCCCTTTTTCTAACCCTATTATTTCAAGTTCGCCAGCTTGGAAATCGATGTCTCAAACTATTGTAGGAATTATCCCATGTTATTTGGCGCCGTCTGTGGGAAGCAAGGGCATCTTTCCTGGTAGCAATCCTCTGATGGTGAATACTTGATTTCAGGGTGAAGAAGCAAGTGTGCGTGTAAGGAATGTAGAGCCCGTCCGACTTCCAATGGTTCTAAAACCGATCCATTAGGCCAATCTGGTGGAGTGGAGCATTCTTCGCAACGAACGCTCCCTATGGATCAGGGCCTTGGGGGGCATGACCTCATGGCCCGTGACATCGTTGAGATGGTAGAATAGCATTAAGCAGCTTGAGAAGGAAAACGCCAAGGTCCAGCGGTGTCTTGACGATTTTGAGCAGTCAGCGAGCGCNGAACCGATCCATTAGGCCAATCTGGTGGAGTGGAGCATTCTTCGCAACGAACGCTCCCTATGGATCAGGGCCTTGGGGGGCATGACTTTATGGCCCGTGACATCGTTGAGATGGTAGAAAAGCATTAAGCAGCTTGAGAAGGAAAACGCCAAGGTCCAGCGGTGTCTTGACGATTTTGAGCAGTCAGCGAGCGCGGGCAGGCATAATTGCGGGTTCGAGGACTAGGTGCCTAGCCAAAACCTTTTTCAAGCCTCCTTGGCATAGACCCTACAGGAAAGACTGGATTAGGCACTCACCCGAGGGACGTAACCGCCAAGGTGGGTTCTCGGCCTCGAAGAAGAATTCGAAATCGGGCCAAAAGGCAAGCCTGTCCCCGTGGNGGCAGGCATAATTGCGGGTTCGAGGACTAGGTGCCTAGCCAAAACCTTTTCCAGGCCTCCTTGGCATAGACCCTACAGGAAAGACTGGATTAGGCACTCACCCGAGGGACGTAACCGCCAAGGTGGGTTCTCGGCCTCGAAGAAGAATTCGAAATCGGGCCAAAAGGCAAGCCTGTCCCCGTGGGACCTGCGCCAAGGGATACCCGAGGGCGTCAGCATCGCCGAATCACAAGCGGAGTCCACACCCCGGAGGCCTCGAGAAGAAAGATCAAAAAATGATCGGAGGGTCTACTTCACCGCTTATCGCAACCATAAGCCCTAGGTCTATTCCGACGAAGTTATTTCACCGTTCATTCGGACTATTAGGGAGGCCAAAATGCCGAAGAAGTTTACCGTCCCAAGGTTCAAAATCTACGATGGAAAAACTGATCCCGAAAGCCACCTTCAGCAATACAAACAATTGATGTCAATCTACGATACTAACCAAAGGGTGTTGTGCCGAGTTTTTCCCATGAGCCTAGGGAACACAGGCATGAGATGGTATAAGAACCTGGCTCCTAAGAGCGTCAGGTCCTAGAAACAATTGAAGGAGCTCTTCATAGCTTGATTCATCGCCAGTAGTAAGAAATCGAAGGACATCGACGCACTATTGACGCTTAGGCGAAAGAGAGGAGAGACACTTCAACAATATGTCGTCCAATATTGGGATGAAGTCAATGAGGTGGAAGCATGTTCGGAGGCATTGACCACGGTGTCGTTTAGGCTAGGGCTGTTCCGGAACACTGATTTGTATAAATCGCTGACTAAAAGAAGGCTCTGGCGGATATAAAAGACTTAATGGCTCGAATTAACAAATATACCCGAGTGGAGGAAGAATCTAACGCGCTAGAGAGAAGGGTCCTGGTGCCAAGAAAAAGGGAGAGGGAACAGTCGGCCCGAAGGGGAGGGCTTGTTCCACCCCCAACTCGTCTGTCCTTCCAAGGGGTGAACACGGTCTTCAACGAGCCCTTTACATGATACTTCCCAAGATTAAAAACAAACCCTACTTCAAGTGGCCCCCAAGGATGATAGAAAATCCATCGACAAGGAGTGCGGCCTTCCATTGTTCGTATCATAAAGATGTAGACCATTTGACGGAGGATTGCAAGGTTTATAAATCCTTCCTCGAACAATTAGTGCAGGACGAACACCTCGGGGAGTTCATCGATAAGGGTCATCCCGACAAATCGGCAAGCGAGCAAGCTAAGGTGCCAACTGAGGTAGCATTTATGATTGATGTTATTCATGCCTGCACAGTGGAGAGGCCTATATACAACTTCCTCCACGTCAAGTTATAGAAGGTCTCTCAAGCAGTCAGGGTGGAAGAAAGGGGTGAGGAGTGGCCGTCCAAGAAGCCGCGAAGCGGTATCAAGGTTATCCAATTTTTTGATGCTGACCTCAATGGCGTGGTCCTTCCCCACGAAGATGCATTGGTGATCACTTTGCGAATCGAAAAGTTCAACGTCAAAAGGATCTTGGTAGACTCGAGTAGTTCTTCCGAGGTGATNGATGGCGTAGTCCTTCCCCACGAAGGTGCATTGGTGATCACTTTGCGAATCGAAAAGTTCAACGTCAAAAGGATCTTGGTAGACTCGGGTAGTTCTTCCGAGGTGATGTATGATTACCTCTTTCGTAAAATAGGATTCTCGCAAAGGGATCTGGAACCCGTAAAGACCCCCCTCATCGGCTTCAATGGTTCTAGCGCCCTACCTCTTGAAAAAATTACCCTCATGGTACGTGCAGGGGTGGTAACCACGCCAGTAGAGTTTGTAGTAGTGGACTTCGACTCCCCGTACAATGCTATTATGGGGAGATCGTGGTTGCATGTGATAAAGGTGGTCCACTCGTCCTATCACCAGAAGATAAAGTTCCCAACACTGCAGAGCAGAATGGAAATTCGGGGTGATCAGGCATCGACGAAAAGCTGTTTCTATGTCGCGGTGAAAACTGGAGTTAGCGACCGAAGTTAGGAAGGTGATCCCGATGTGGTAGTTGCCAAATAGCAATCACAGAGTGGTCGGCCAGGAGTGGACGAGCCCATTATAGAACCAGCTGACCAGTCTACTAAGGCCTTGGTTAAGATTCTCCTGAGCCCAGATAATGATGAGAAGTACTTTTTGATAGTAGAGTCACTCAACGATGCAGAGAAAAATGATTTGGCCTCATTCCTACGCCGCAAATGCCGATGTCTTTGCATGGACCCAAACCGAAATGACGGGGATAAGTGCCGAGGTGATGACTCATCAGCTCCATGTGAATCCCTCATTCAAACCCGTTAGGCAGAAGGCCCGAAGAACGACGCCTTATCACGCCAAAGCTGTGGATGAAGAGGTGGATAAGTTGTTGGGGGCAGGTTCCATCGAGATACAATTCCCCCAGTGGTTATCCAATACCATGTGTGTCAAGAAGAAAGAAAAGAAATGACGAGTTTGTATGGATTTCACGGACCTGAACAAGGCCTGCCCCAAAGACGAGTACCCCTTGCCCAAGGTTGATCAGCTAGTAGACACCATAGTCGGCCACAAGCGAATCACTTTTATGGATGCTCGGGCTGGATATCACCAGATTCCCTTACATGAATCAGATCAGAAGAAAATGACATTCATTACGCCCTGGGGGATCTACCGTTACACAGTGATACCTTTTGGGTTGAAGAATGCTGGGACGACTTACCAACGTTTGATGAATAAAATTTTTAAAGACTAGCTCGGCAAAACGATAGAAGTGTACATTGATGACATGTTGGTCAAAGGCAAAGAGAGTGTCGACCATCTCTTTGATCTCGGGACGACATTCGTCATCTTTCAAAAGTATAGCCTAAAACTAAACGCCTCGAAATGCGCTTTTGGAGTGAGCTCA